TGACAGTGACAGTGACACAATGACATTGACACAGTGACAGTGACAGTGAGAATGACAGTGACAGTGACAGCGACAGTGACAGCGACAGTGACACAATGACAGTGACACAGTGACAGTGACAGTGGCAGTGACACAGTGACATTGGCAGCGACAGCGATACTGTGACAGTGACACAGTGACAGTGACACAGTGACAGTGACACAGTGACAGTGACAGTGACACTGTGACAGTGACAGTGACATTGACAGTGACAGCGACAGTGACATAGTGACAATGACAGTGACACTGTAACAGTGACACAGTGACAGTGACACAGTGACAGTGACAGTGAAAATGACAGTGACAGTGACAGCGACAGTGACACAATGACAGTGACACAGTGACAGTGACAGTGACATTGACAGTGACATTGACAGTGACAGCGACAGTGACACAGTGACAATGACAGTGACACAGTGACAGTGAAACAGTGACAGCAACAGTGACAATAACAGTGACAGTGACAGTGACACAGTGACAGTGACACAGTGACAGTGACACAGTGACAGTGACAGCAGCGAGAGCAGCCCCGGCCCTGAACCCCAACCCCACAGCTGGGCACGGGGGTGGCACCGCCTTTGGGGACCCCCACCCCGCTGTCCCCCACCCCAAAGCTGGGCACGGGGGTGGCACCGCCTTTGGGGACCCCCACCCCACAGCTGGGCACGGGGGTGGCACCGGCTTTGGGGACCCCCACCCCAAAGCTGGGCAGGAGGGTGGCACCGCCTTTGGGGACCCCCACCCCAAAGCTGGGCACAGGGGTGACACCACTGTTGGGGACCCCCACCCCAAAGCTGGGCACGGGGGTGGCACCGGCTTTGGGGACCCCCACCCCAAAGCTGAGCAGGAGGGTGGCACCGCCTTTGGGGACCCCCACCCCAAAGCTGAGCAGGAGGGTGGCACCGCCTTTGGGGACCCCCACCCCAAAGCTGGGCACGGGAGTGGCACCGCCTTTGGGGACCCCCACCCCGCTGTCCCCCACCCCACAGCTGGGCACAGGGGTGACACCGGCTTT